CTTGTTGAGAAAACTTCACTTAAAGTTGAATTTTACTATGGCTTTTTGATTTTTTCAAAGATTTTTAACCTTTTTTTTCAAACTTTAAGTGAAGTTTTCTTAATGACTATATAACTAAATTCAATAAAATTTTTTTATTTTAATTCTATTAGCTTTTAGAATTAAAATAAAAAAATTTGCTGAAGTTAGTTAAGTATTCATCGATAAATATTGTCTTAAGATTTAAAAAACTTTAAAAGGATTTTAGGATCCCGTATGAGTTGATGGTTGATATATACGGTACGTACAAGTAGAATCAAATTTAGGTTTATCCAAACCTAACTGATGGTGCGATTTGATTGGTTCACACCAAAGTGTCAAACACGTGACTTGTTTTTAATGGCTCGGAGCTCGATTCAAGCCACATTGATCAGGTGATCACGTGACAGGTTAAAATGATCTGGGTCAAAATAGAATTTCCCATATTATTATTATTATTAATCAAATGTCATTATTATTGTATCAATTATTAAATTTAATGCCGGAAAGTAAATTTAAAACCCGATTACGTACATGATTTTGGTGGCGATACTAGGTGGGTCCTCTGGATGTTGGTTCAGATAGCTACTCCGGAATTTGAAATTTCTAATAGACTTACGTACATATGTCGTTTATAATTTGAAAATACTCTAATAGAATTACGTACGTATGTTGTTGTAATTTGAAAATACCGTAAATTCTTTTGATGAACATGTTAATATAGAAACTTTTTTTTAACAAAAAAAATTATCATAATGGATTTGTGAAATTTATTTAACAAAAAAAATTATCATAATAGATTCGTGAATTTTATTTAATGAAAAAAAAAACTTTAAAAAACTAAAAACTTAATTATTTTATTCAATGAATTTTTTTATATATAACAAGCTCTATACAGTATGATGAACCTCTCTATAATGAACTTTTTTTTTCAATACGTTAGTTCGTTATGGAAAGAGTTGGCTATAATATATTTGTAATAATAAAAGTAACATTAAAGATGATTTAAAGAACTAAGAAAATTTTCCTTACGAAAATACAAACAAGTTATTAAAGAACTTTTAACAAATAAATAAATCTCCTAGAATATAGCTTGTTTTTTATCATATAACTTCATGCTTTGTTGCGTAATTATTGATTTATTGTTAAAGAATTTGAAGTAAAATTAATAGATCAAATAAATAAATAGAATTCTTTTTATTTTCTTTCTTTAATGCTATGCGCGAATAAAGACTAAAGGTGTAGTCAAAGGAAAGTCGATTTTATAACATAGATCATTATAATTGTCGATATTGTTGATAAAAGAAATCGAGATTTGTTCAACTAAGTGGTCATCGTGCCACCACATGATCATCCGGAGCACAACCTTGTATATCACCTTCGAGAATGTGCCATTATAAAGTTCGGAATATTAAACTAAGGGTATTTAACTTAAATTTGGAAATACTGTAAATGTTAACAATTATAATATTGTACTATTGAAATGAGCCATGTTAGATATTACAATAAGGTTTTACAACTTTCTTATGATGGAAATTTATTATAATTTATTTGTAAATTAACACTATATACTACTCTATTGAGATCTTATCGTTTATAATAAATGAAAATTTATATATATCTACTTTAGATTAGAAGCTATGCTTATTACAACTTTTTAATTAAACTACGGCATTTTATAACTTTTATAAATATATAAGTACTAACATATTCCTGAACCAGATCTCGTTTAGGTGGCTTTTTTAGACTGATTAGATAAAAATTTTTTTTCGGCTGAGTTATTTTGATTATAATCAATTTTTTTTAGATGTTACTTAATAATTGTTGTTAAAAGACAATTAAACATGTAAAAATTGTTCGATGTTATAATTTAATTAATATTAATTGTTATCCGGCAGCTTACTATGATAGTGCTTGCCAAATAACTCGAGTTATTTGGCAGTGATTACGTCATCTGCCAAATAACTTCGTTATTTGGCAGCTTACATAATCACTACCAAAAACTCGAGTCATTTGGCAAGCACAATCGTCGTAAACCACCGGATAACACCGTTATTGTATGCTACACAGCCAATAACTTGTTTATCTGGCAGCGAATTTGATATGTGTCATTTCTGGGCCCCTTCGGGGCCCAGAAGCTAACATATCAAATTCACAGCCAGATAATACAAATAATTCTCGTTATTGGCTGCTTCGCATCCAATAACTATATATTATCTGGAACTTCTTTTGTTTGTACTCATTGTAAAAAAAAAATAACTTTCGTTGATAGACCAATTCAAAAAAATGATTAATTACATATATTGATATCAAATTTTAAATTATTAATATAGAATTTTGAATTCATACTGTTTTTGTTGGTAATTTGCAATGCATCGTACGGTTCACTAGAACAGCTCTGCTTGCACATCTAGTTTTGTACAGTATTTGTACGATATGCTGGTCAATTAACAAGCCAAGCAAGTGAAAGACTCGAATGTTAAAACGATAAATTAATTGTAGCTGAGTAACTACATGACATTAATTTATGAACGCACAACAGTACAGTCTAATTTTACTATAACTTAAACAAATGTAATTAATGATGTAATAATAATTTTATATAAGTAAATGCTTACAATAAGTTTAATATACCGGTGGGTGAAAAGTCTCTAAACAGGACCCTTTTTTTTATAAGTTTAAATATAATATTGCAATGATTATACGTAATTATAAATGTTAATATGATTATTTTAGTGATTGAAAAAAAAGGTCCTGTTTAGAGACTTTCACCCACCCGGTTACGTAATTTAAAAGTTCTTTAAAAAATGGCATATAAAACAGATGGTTCCACTTTATATATTTATTTTAAAAATTCCCAATTAACGTTAATAAATAGAAATTTCAAATCTACTTTAAATAGGTACAGTATTAGTAAATTATATTAACACGTGAAGAGAGGAATCCGTACAATATTGAAAAAAATAGGTGGTATGCTCATGTAATGTTTTTGCATAAATGTTTACATATAAGCTACAAAGAAAAATCACATTATCATATAAATGCCGGATAAATTACAGGAGTGCCGTCAAGTCAAAACCTGTCATCAGACTTACAAGTGTACAGTTAGCCGTCTATGGAAAATCTTTCACATGTCATCATGATAGATTTTCCATACATGACAGTTTATAGCACATTAAGACGTACAAGATCATAAATGCCTAGCGGCCCTCCAGGGGTCTAGACACTTTTGCAGTAACGTGACCGTCACGTGGTGTGGCGTAATTTTTTGCTTTAGTTTAGGGTTTGGGTTCGGGTTCGTGTTAGGGTTTTTAGCTTTATATATTATATGTAAAATTGCATTTCCGACACTTTTTGTTAGTGCTTAAAGGCCGATTTAAACACCAGTTTTTGAGTATTTTTGCTTTTTCTTCTTGCACACGTGTTTTGTTTTGACGTCGTACTGATCCGGGACGATCGAAATTTACGAATTCCGATTGGTCATTTTATATGCGCCACGTCACGTTACTGCAAAAGTGTCTAGACCCCTGGCGGGGCTATGCCTAGCCGTTCTTCTTTTAGCGTTGCCCAACTACCTTATTTGATATTTCATTACAAATATTACAAAGTAAAAAGTTGTTTTTTTTTTGTAGTATCGATTTATTTCCCTTTAAATATTTAACATATGAGTGCGTGAGAGAGAAAATTTGGAATAGAAATTTCGAACCTAAAAGAATTATGATCGGCTTTTGGCAATTTCAATAATATTACTGAAATTATCAAAACGTCGATCATAATTTACAGGTTTCATTCTCACGCATTCATATGTTCTCACATATATGCATATATGTTATGCAATGCAGGTTTATGTTCTCGCAGATCCTTGATGACTAATTTTGATGACTAATTTTCACAATTCATCAACTCCTTAATTTACGTAGTAATTTTGTTAAGAAAGTTGGCACAAATGAGAAATTATTAAATATACTACGTATCAGGTCCTCTGACACGATCTACCGATGAGTATGGTCAAAGCGCACGGGAAGCAGATATTTAAACAATATAAAATTTTTTAATTCATAATTTTTTCTTTACTAAAAAAGCCGTCCGTATAGGAAATTAAATTCCGACCTTAGCCTTAAAAACAAGGTTAAACACAGATTAGATCATTGTATAACGATGACTACAATAATGGTAAAGATCGACTGTCATTGTTTAAATTTTGCGTAATCGTCATTGTTTCTATTTAAGTAATATATTGAAAAAAATTTTAAATATAAACGTACAGTAAAACGTTTACTCCATCAAATTTCAAGATCTATTAATTATGGAAAAAGAACTATTTCCTAACACTGATATGGCAGAAACTTATTCAAGCGAAACGCTTAATTTTACTACGCAAGATGAAACTACCGTGCAATCAACTACGAAACTCGATGAAATTAACATAAATAATAATTCTGAATCGGATGGTGACGTGACAGGAATTTACTCAAGCGATATGTCCAACTTAACTACACCTGAAGACTCCGCAATACAACCAGTTACAACACTAAAAGATGATATGTCAACTATGGAACTCTATGAATTTGAAACCGACGCAAATGATAAAAATTTATCTAGTTCTTCATCCAGTACAATAAATATTAAAGATTGTCAAAATTCAATTAAATCTCCATGTTCAGCATTATTAAATGATGAAAAAATGACTGAAACGAATAACAAAGTTAAATTCATACGGATAGTGTCAACTGATTTAGGTGTACAATATATTGAAACTGAACAAAATGTTGAGGATGATATAAATGATCAAAATTCCGATATCTTTAACAAGCTAATAAAATTTGAAGATGATGACATTAATGAAGAAAATGAACTTGCAAAAATTAACGATGTCGAAAGTTCACAAACTAAAAGCACTTTCAAAGGAAAGAAAAAGGCTGATAATACTTCATATCTTTCTGGCAATAAATTTAACGACACAAATATGACCTCAGACGATGAATTATTTGAAGATGGTGGTATCGTAACCACTATTTTTCACGTAATGATGCCAAAATCTTTAAATAAAAACTCCATGGTATTTGTTATTGGTAATATTAAAGAACTAGGGGAAGGGAGATATGGTACCATACAGCTCAAAATGCACGAGAAATATCCCATGCTTTGGCATTCTGATCCTATTAACATTTCAATTTCGATTCTTAAAAATAGATCCATTCAATATAAATATTTTATTTATGAAGAAAAAGATTTTTTCACAAAAATCTTTAGCTTTTTTAAAAAATCGATATTTGAAAATAAAATTCCTGATATCTATGTAGAAACAAAAAATTGGTATCACGATGAAATTGACCGAGAATTCATTTCCAAAGAAAATCAATATGATATATGGTTCACTAATGAAAATTTTTCTATAGATATAAAAGATTTAGAATTGAAATATCCTTACTTTTCGATTATCAATCAATCAGTGACTGAAATTAATTTAAAAGATAAAATTATTGAATATCAAGAGCTCCGCAGAAGACATCGAAACTATCTGAATTATAATATGTTAGAATCTTTCATTTTCAAAGAGTTTAATACCTCAAGTATTATTGAACAAAAAATATTTTTAGGCGTGTTGTTGGGTTATTTGATAAAAGAGAAAATTGATGAAAGCTATATGCCGAATGGATACATTCTTCCGGAAAAGTTCCCTTCAAATGATATGTTACAAGCTTTTAAGAATATTAACGTGAATGACTTACCTCATGGTGTCGTTAAAATATTAACACTAGCTGTCTGTACATTAGTAAACCATATTTCAACTTATTCAGCAAATTTTGAATGGATGAATGTCTTTGAGATCGCTCCCATTGTGGATCCAGGATATAGTTTCCTTAGACATGTTAAAGTTCCTGTATATAGAAAAAACATATCAGAGTTTAAGGAATCTCTCCAAAATGTTGTAAAGCCATACATAGATAACATTAAAAATGATACTACTTACGCGAAAGTTTGCAAGGTAAGTTACCATTTTTAATTTTAACTTTCTAATTTCTCTTTCTCTTTAGAATATATATAAATTATTTAAATGTTATCAATTTTTTAAACTAGCGTCTCATCGTCTTATGCTGGGAAATTGATGCTATTGTATTTTTGTGGCAATCCATTTTCCGTCCTGGCTTGAATAAGTATGAAGGCCTTGAAGAACTTCTCCTTGATCACTTAAATTATTTTATATCTAACGATAATGCAAGAAAATTGGAAACGCACCTTGAAGAGATACCTTATGATCTTGACATCGATTTCGCCTCAAGATTTCGTGGAAGAATTTATGAATTATTAAATAGTTCTGAAACTGGTTTGGATAAAAATAATATCAATTCAATGTTTGATTTACTCAATAATGATAAATTGAATTGGCAGAAAGATTCTGCTTTGAGAGCACTAGAGCTTATTTCAAATTCGAAGAATTTCGAATTGTTGGAATTATTTCCGGAACAACTGGTGAAGTTTTGTGATGCCATTAGCATAGATATTGATTTAAATGATACGAAATTCTGTAATATTTGTGCTCAATGGCTCAATAATACTTTGAATCGTATCGAAAAAGCACGAAATAAATCCAATACATCAAATGTATCCAAACGTCCTGTGGAAAACTTTGCATGCACTGCTTTTAGTTATCTTTCAGTAATATATCAAATTATGGTAAAATGTGGTATCGCGCACGCTCAGCTTTTTAAAACTACAGAAGAAATAGTAGATCGTCTTGCAGATGATGTAATATTTGATGCCGCTCTTGATATTGGAAATTTTAAACTGCCAGAACTTGTTGAAATATTTAGTCATGTATTAAAAAGAAGATTCGGTTCAAATGTCAAATATAGCGATGACCAATTATTGGTTAAGATTATAAAAATTTGTAAATCCGAAAGACAACAGTTACATATTCCAAACGCACTTTGTGAAGATGTCGTTTCTCACATTTTAACAAGACTACAGAAAAATATACAGAATGTAGATATGGATGAAATAGATGAAAAAGATATTATTGATGATGATCTTCATAAATTATTACTTGCTTCCTCGAAATTTTGGATATACATTTTAAAGGCCACTGGTTCTGTAGAGTTACTTAATCAACATGCGTATGTGAGAACGGTTCGTCAAGCCATTATTCAGTTAGTCGGAAAGCTCTTGGATAAATCTATAGAAATAAAAATGTTAAAAAATATCCTTCATTATAATGACAATGATTTGTTAAACTATTTCTCTACAATAAATGAATCAACAAACGTTAATTTTTCCGAAAAGAATCTACGGATAAACAAAATTATCTTTCTGATTTATCAGCAAAATTAAAAATGCAAGAAGTAGTTACTCTTGATGACACATTTCAAAAATCTTTTTGGAAATTTCATCAACCTATTTTAGAAGTAGGTCAACGTTCATATGCTTATGGAAAATCTCAAACATTTAAAAATGTTTTTGAAAAATGTTTAGAAACAAATGAACCGACCTTGACTGTCAAATTAATTGCCACAAAATATATATTTGTAGCATTTTCTGATTATGATCGTTTAAGAGCAGAATATAATGAATGGTCAAAACTTGAATGTTTAAACATTAGTCCATTTTGGAAAGATGTTAAAAATATAGATCATGAACTTGAATTAATGTCACGAGGTATGAAATGGCAACCGAATGATGATATAAAAAAGGCAATAAACTGTCTTATTAATTTTAAATCATGGAAAGAAGGACTTGAAGATTTGGAAAGAACTTTGGGTGCTTTTAGAGTACAAAATGTAACAGAAAGTTGGGTGATCGATATACGTAATATGTTACTCAAAGAACCTTTAACTCTTTTAGATTTATCTAAAATCTCTAATATAACGAATAAGTATATTTATGATTTTAATGATAACTGTTGGGCAATGATAGGTGCATTATCTTATGCTGGAGATTTTATTTCTTGGCTTCAAATGATTGCAGAAGGTGATTTAAGAAATTTAATTAACGGAGTCGACGATAAACGTGAAATTCATGAAGAAACTGTTGCTTCATTAATCGAAGTTAAACAATTCTTGAAACCTCTTATGAATGATATGGTAAAACTTTCTAAAGAAGGAAAATCGACGCATATTATCATAACTAAATTCTTGGATCACATTCGTGAAATAAATTTGAAGAATGAATCTTTGCATGAAAAAATTTCACATTGTTGTTCAAGCAATATTGCTCTTCAAAATATATACTTTAGTATAGTTAATAGAGGAGAAGCAACTAAAGAACGTATTAGAGATGCTGCTACGAAAGGTTTATACAAATTTTATCGTGATAAAGACCATGATAAATGTATAGTAAATTTGCACTGCCAGGACAAATCCGGAAAAATAAATTCTTATGATCTTTCAGACCTACAAGATTTACAAGGACAAGCCCTTTTGATTGCAAAGCAAGCAGCATCAGCTTTTGTTTTACGGTTACCAGTTGGAAACGAAAATAGTCTAGAACAAGGAACCAAAGAACTGATGGAATTTGTCCATCAAATAGATACAGTACATCAGATCATAAAATATACTTCTAAATTAATGGAATTGGGTCATTTTGCCTATAGAGAATGGAGTATGTCTGCGGATTCCGCAAAGATTATGATGT